TAATATACATTACCCCAAACACAAGATAGCATCTTTTTATAGTTGACAGAACCCTCAAATCACCCCCTGACAAATATGGGTAGGGACGGATCCACCCCTCAAAAAAAAGCAGGGACAAATGACACCCCAAAAGTATCGATTTTCCCAAATCGATCATTATCTAACAGGCCACGTCATCACCGTCATGATCTCCGTTTAGCCTGTACCAGCGTGTCGTTTTTTCACATGTTGGATGCTGATGTGTATCAATCTCGCCCATTTCACATACCGTGTCACCCTTTATTCCCCTTTCCTTGTCATGGACCCCATTTAATCCTAAAAAAGGAAGAAGGAAAACCTGCGTCTTCGACTTTGATTTGCAGCAAAAAATCGAAAACTCATTTCTCAAAGAAATCTTTGAACCAAATTCAGTTTTGAGTACGGGACGAGAGTTGGCTCAACTCTTTTCTGGTGAATCTGAAGAAAATACTGAAGCTTTAAAGGGCCCTCGCACACTCAGTGTTACAAATCCCTCCCCACCGAGGAACAAAAACTCGATTCCACCGGCCTTAGAATCTGACCTGGATACACCTGCTACGATTCCTACATCCAACACCAACTCAACAAGACCCTCAACCCCAGATTAAGACAGATATGGAAAACCCGTGACTGGGACCGGAAAATCCAGGTCTTTTCCAGATTCTTCCAGGATTTGAAGCGCGAGATGCTTCTTGCAAATTCCTCGCGGGCACTCTGCATCGGGGCTCGCATGGGTTAGGAAGTGGAGGCGTTGAAGCGGGCGGGCGTGGCCGACTCCATCGACATCGACCTCGTGCCAGAAATCCAGGTCTTTTCCAGATTCTTCCAGGATTTGAAGCGCGAGATGCTTCTTGCAAATTCCTCGCGGGCACTCTGCATCGGGGCTCGCATGGGTCAGGAAGTGGAGGCGTTGAAGCGGGCGGGCGGGCGTGGCCGACTCCATCAACATCGACCTCGTGTTGTGTCCGCCGCTGGTGGTTAAAGGAGATTTCCACAACCAGCCGTTCGACAACGAAACGTTCGATTTCGAATTCTCAAACGTGTTCGACTCTGATTTGCAGCGAAAAATCGAAAACTCATTTCTCAAAGAAACCTTTGAACCAAATTCACTTTTGAGTACGGGACGAGAGTTGGCTCAACTCTTTTCTGGTGAATTTGAAGAAAATACTGAAGCTTTAAAGGTCCCTCGCACACTCAGGTTTTCCTTCTTCCTTTTTTAGGGTTAAATGGGGTCCATGACAAGGAAAGGGAAATAAAGGGTGACACGGTGTGTGAAACCGGCGAGTTTGGTACACATCAGCATCCAACGTGTGAAAAAACGACACGCTGGTACAGGCTAAACGGAGATCATGACGGTGATGACGTGGCCTGTTAGATAATGATCGATTTGGGAAAATCGATACTTTTGGGGTGTCATTTGTCCCTGTTTTTTTTTTAGGGGTGGATCCGTCCCTACCCATATTTGTCAGGGGGTGATTTGAGGGTTCTGCCTTTATAGTTTATGATATTTTACATTACTATCACTCTTAAATTCAAGAAAGCTAGAAAGTGTATAAAAGTGAACTTTTTAACCATTTATGAAAGTT